GTTAATCCTTTGGAGAAAGTCTTAACCTTGCAACCTTTAGTCTTAGGCTTTAGGAAAATATCACATTTATCTGTGGATTGTCAAAGGCTCCGTGTATTAATTTAATATATATAACTGAATATTAAGATGAAAGCAATTTGCCATTAACTGCCAGTGGCCTCATTTGTTACACTCGGCCCTAGAGGGCTTCGAACCTCTGACTAGTCTTACACGGTCCGCAACACCCCTACACATCACTGTTTTAAACAGCAGCACCTCTGCTAGATTTCCACTCACGTGGAAAAGTCCAAAGCCTTAGATGGCCAAGTATGCCTGTCTTCAGACTCCGGGATACCCCATCTGAGCTCCCTAATACTCTCAGGAAACATACAAGAGGGCAGGAGAGCAGAGGTAGGGGTTGAGCAGGGAGTAATGTTACTCGCATTCCAGACTAGATGTGGAGTTAGTCAGTCCTGGGTTTCAGCACCAAAAATGTCATGGTCGAAGTGTGATCCCTACAAGGCTGTTAGCAGCCTTCCAAAGACTGCTAAAGACATAACACACTTACTCCCGCAAAAAAGAACTTGAAAGTCAAGAGGCTTGGGGGGGGGGGGGGCGGGGGGGAAGAGGCTTAGGGAAATGAAACATAAGCATAGCTATTTTTATTATTATAAGCATAGCTATTCTTACAGAAAGAGGTAAGAATGCAAAAAAGAGGAAGTGGAGCCCCCATACAATTAGCGGAGTGGACTGTACTCCTGGTTCAAGTGACCAAGTAGCCAATCCGGGGAATTGGTCCATAGACAGTTTCCTTGAGTCTTGCTTTTCAGGTTTCCATTTATTAACTTTCTTTTTGCAAACAGTTTTTATTTTCTCTCCCATCCCCCTTAACTAACTTAATTTCCTCTTGCAAACAGTCTCCTCCTCTCTCCCCAACCCCTTTTCAGAAATTTCTCACTGCTGAAGTGGGCTTGTTTGCAGACAGGTCATACCTAGAGTGACTTGAGATCATTTTCCCCTGTTCTAAGTACCTAATAGCAGTAGTGGGAAAAGTTCAACAGAACCATTAAAAAAAAAAAAATCCTCCAAATATAAAGCACAGAGGGGCAGGATGTGGATATGACGTAAAAACGATCTCATTAGGCAGGCAGGAGAAAAACGAGAAAAACTATCTCCTTGTGTGTCCAGAACTCAGTGGGGTTTGTGAGCCCTCCCTCCCTATTTAGCTACGCAATGGGAGTTGTTAACCATCAGCTACCTATTAACTTCCCTCTTAACCAGCTTTCAGCGTAGGCACACAATCAGTTATGCCACGTACCCAGAGGTCTCTGCAACGACCCCATCATGGATGCCAGATGCACATGCAGGTTGAGGGAAAAGCACACAAAGGTGGAACTGTGCAAACAGTAAAGTTCACCCCTTTCATGAAATCTGGCAAAATCCTATCTGTAGCTTAACCTCTCATTAGAAATGCCTTAGACTGTGAGCCTGGGGAGGCTCTGCTGTCTATAACACAGCTTCCCTGCAGGTATATTCCCATAAACCTCTTTTATACTATATCTCATGCCTTTTCTAGTCTTATGTAGCCTGACCCTGTATCATTCACTCGTTTTATTTTTATTACTCCATGCTACATGAGTTTTGTTGTTGTTGTTAGGTGTCTTCAAGTTGGTTCTGGATAATAGCAATACTATGTACAACAGAATGAAATGCTGCCCAGACCTGCGCCATCACTCCTCACAACTGTTACACTTGAGTTACACTGCTGTCATTTGCTAATCCATCTCGTTAGGGTCTTCCTCTTTTTTGCTAACCTTTTACTTTACCAAGCATGATGTCCTTCTTCAGGGACCAGCCCCTCCTGACAAGAAGTTTAAAACATGAAAGATGACGTTTCACCATCCTGACTTCTAAGGAGCACTCCCCACTGTACTTTGTTCAACACAAACCTGTTAGTTCCTCTGGCGGTCCATAGTACCTTTAAGACCAAAATGAAACTATCCTATACCTTGGCTTAGTTCTGATGAGGCCTATGAGAGGCACAAAATTCATCTTATAATCATTAGTTAAAAAGTTATAAACCTACATAGCTCCAATATTTACATACAGAAAAACCTGACATGGTGTTTGACTCTTGAGTGCTTTGATGCCTTCCTTTATAAAATGGAAAAACAGTATCTACATTTGCAAGATACTGTGAAGAGCTATGTAAAATACTAACAGTGAACTTGGCAAATAATGAGATCCCAATAAATAGTAGCTAATTTTAATGCCATCTTAAAACATGGCTCTTACATCATATTCTTCATTCTGCTATAATAGTGTTCTGAAAGTGTAACCACATACAATAGATTCACATGGCTACTCTTGTTTAAAATGCAGATTTCTGGAACTCTCCTCATAGTCCTTCCTAAGACCTAGTGAATCAGAATTTCTGTAGTGATCACAACTCAGAAGTCTGTATTTCTAACATTCAAGAATTGCAGGCTTTCCTTACATATACAAAAATTTAGAAACATTGAATGAGGAACTGTACACAAAGAGTATTTTTGCCAATGAAAACGTGTATCAATGACAGCCAGGTAGTGTTGAACATTCTAATTTGATGCTAACAGTTTTGTTTAAAAGGTAGGTGAGTGCCATCTACTGTTTTATTTTTAAATACCATCATGAGATTCAAGTTTCAGTAATTAATTTCACTCTGAAAAATGAATCAATCCTAAACAAGATAAGGGAGCAATAGAAAGCATTGTTGGAATGAGAATGAAAACAGTCATTTCATAACTACAAGGAACCTTTCAAAGTGAAAGGATTTTGGAGTTTTAGACTAATGTATCTAATAAACTCCTATAATCTCAAGTTAGTGTTAAAGCCAGAAAGGATCATACAATTCCATACTCACTGACTTATGCCAATAGTGAAAGGAAGAACAGGAATATGGAATGCCCCAATACATTGCAATGAAACAATGTACTGCCATGCTCACCTCCAGTCCTACCCCCCACTGAAGAGAAAATCAAGTGAAATACAAACAAGCTTAAGTGCTGGGCTACTAACTAAAAGTTTAATGGTTCGAACCCAGAAGTATCTTGGAGGCAAGTCCTGAGGATCTCTTTCTGAGGCTCAGCCATGAAAGCCCTATGGAGGGCAGCTCTACTCTAAAATACGTGGGGTCTCCATGAGTTGAAACTGACTCACTGGCGGTAACTGGTAGGGGTGCTTCTTATCCCATAACATTCCATTCAATCCAGCATCAAAACTGCCACTTATAGGACAACAGTTAGAAAGTTAACACAAACTTCTGTTCACCATTATGATTAAAACTGATTTCTTCCTCTTCCAAGTTATAAATGAATACAAATAAGCCCAAAGGCTCAAGAGAGATGGGCAAAGCCTTATAAATATTAATATAAAACTAAACCAGCTATCGGACACCGTGTTTCAATAAGTCAATGACACATCACAAAAAAGCATTTAGCTCTAATGTTTTTAAGAAATGAATGATAAAAACATGTACACTTGAAAGTCTGAATTCCTCCATCACAGAGTATGAATGATGGTCCGGTTGCGAAGCGCTTGAACATATTCTTTGGCCAAAGCAACTGCAGTCTTTGGTGGTTCAGGTGGAGGTGGAGGTCCTTCTACCAGCTTCACAAAATAATGGCAATAAACCTTCTCCATGATCCCAAAGTAACCTCTTCCGTGGTAGCGGATGCGTTTCAGGCACTGGCCTCGCCCTGACTTGGACTCAGCTAGACAGGAAAGAAAAAGAGAATTATTGGACACCAACTGTTACCCACAAGATGACAACTTCATCAGCTGAGCAATATCTGTCCTTTCCCCAAGTGGATTCTACGATTACATGAGCTCATGGTTTGGCTTAATATGGCTTACCTCAAAAATAAGTATCTCAAAAAAAAAAAAGTATCTCCTTGGAAATAAGATTCTTTTGATTCAACAGTAATTGTTATCATGACTAACTGCGATTGTCACAATTGTAAAGGTAGAAGTTTTGTAACATAAAGGAGGGAGTAGCTAATCTTACAATCTAGGAACCGACAACCCTAGGACCATCAAGGAAGAAGAGCACAAATGGAATGTAGGACCCTATCCAGAGAAGCAGCAACACCAGAGACAGAGGCAGAGATAAGGTCATGGGGAGAGGGAAAAGCTGAGGTCTAGACTCATGGAAAGAGAAAGGCTAAGTACTGACAGCCAGGAGGAAAGCTTGTAGAATATGCCCTTGGGTTTTTTAAATGACTATATATTCCTGAGTGTTTTTATGTACATCAAAAAAAAAAAAAAAACACAAAAAAAACCCTGAGGGAATAGATGTACATACTATTGAATGATGATTCATGGAGGGGACTGTAATCATTGCAATGAAATGAAATGACAGGATAAGTGTAAAACTAATGTTCTCCATGTAAACTATCATGCAATGAACAATAAAAGTTTAAAAAAAAAAAAAAAGGGGGTAAATGAAATACATGGGGCAAAAGGTCAATAATTACTGAATCTGGCCAAAGAGTCTAAGGGTTCATTGTATCAGGCTTTTAATTTTGGCATGTTTTAAATTTTTTAGATCATAAAAAGTTTAAATATTAAAAAAAAATCATAAGTATCTCCTGCATTCCCTAAAACAACCAACCGTACGAGATCAGAGAACAGTCTCCCAGGATACAGCTCAGAAGGCAGGACAGAATATGAAAGAAGGCCATATGGAAACAGTAAACACAGGGAGAAAGTGGAAAGAGTGCTATGACCACAGGGATGGGCAACTTGGACACTGACTACCCAAAAGGGGGAGCTACAAAGGCAAGAAGTGACTGGCTTACAAGCTTTCAAGACGGAGCCTAGATCCAGAGGGCACAAAGGAAGGTAGAATCTCCACTGAGTAGTATCCAATCTGTCTGGGCGGGGCTGATGAAATGAAATGCAGATAGTTCTCTTGTGGTACAATAGTGAACAATTGTTATCAGGACTGACTGTGAGGGTTAGAAATGTAAAGGTAGACGTTTTGTAGCAAAAGGAGGGGAGTGACTGACTTTGCAGTCCAGGAGCGGAGGTCCCTGGGACCATCAAGGAAGAAGAGCGGAGTGTGGGACCCTACCCAGAGAAGCAGTCACACCAGAGATGGAGGCAGAGATGACGACATGGAGAGATGGAGCAGCTGGGGACTCTAGACCCAGAGATGGAGAGGGACTGTGTGCTGATGACTGGGGGGCAGGCTTGCAGGGTATTCCCTTTGGTTGGTTGATGATGCATGGAGAGGATTGTAACCATGGCAGTGAAATGATATACAATAGGATGAATGTAAAGCTAATATTCTCCCATGTAAGCTATCACATAATTCACAATAAAACATTTTTTTTTTTAAAGTGCTATTATCTTGTAGGGATTGCAATCAATGTTACATATCAAAATGTGTATGTACTGTTAATGGAAAACCAATTTGTTTTGTAAACTTTCTCAAAAATCACAATACAAACCCATTACTATCTTGGATTCTGACTCATAGTAACGCTATAGGATAGAGTAGAATTTCTTAGCGTTTCCAAGACTGTGTATCTGTAGGGGAGCATATAAAACCATAGAAGAATTGATGCATTTGAGTTTTGGTGTTGGAGGAGAATATTGAAAGTGCCATGGGCTGCCAAAAGAATAAACAGATCTGTGCTGGAAGAAGTGCAGCCAGAGTGCTCCTTGGAGGCCAGGATGGCCAAACTTCGCCTCTCATACTTCAGACATATTGTCAGGAGGGACCAGTCACTGGAGAAGGATATCATGTTTGGTAAGGTGGAGGGTCAGAGAAAAAGAGGAAGACCCCCAATGAGATGGAATGGCCAGGTGGCAGCATCGATGGACTCAAGTGTGGCAACAGTAGTGAGGTTGGCACAGAATCGGGCAGTGTTTCGTGTGCTTAGGGTCGCTATGAGTCGGTACTGACTCAATGGCACCTAACAACAACAACAGTCTCTATGGCGCTGTGAGTTAATGCACTGGACTGCGAAGTCGATTTGAACTGCATGATCGGTGGTTCAAGCTCACCAGCTGCTCCTTGGAAACCCTATGTAGGGTCACTATGGGTTGGAACCAACTTGACAGCACTTAACAACAACATAACCTCTGGTTATTTTGAACCACTAACCTTGACGTTAGCAGTCCAAAGTTTCAAAAGTGTAAAATTAAAAGATCCTGTGTAACTCCCCACCCCTTCAAAAATAAGTATGTCTTGAGCACTTATTAAAAGCCAGGCACTATTCTAGATGTTGGAAAGGCAAGAAGAGTGAGCAAAACTGCAAGGCCCTGCTTCCATGTAGTTTCCATTCTCTAGGGGAAAGGCAAGGAACAAGCATGACGATTTCAGTCACTGATAAGAGAGCAGAAGACTTCTCAAAGCATTTTATAAACATTTTACCCTAATTGGTACTCTCCCCAACTTCAGCACCAATTTCCAAATACTCTGAGGATACAGAATACTACACCAGTGGAAGAAGTAGCAAAACTACCAACTGTACTATCTTGTTGTTGTTGTTGTTGTTAAGTGCTGTCGAGTCAGTTCTGACTCATAGCAGCCCTGTATAGGGTTTCTGAGGAGTAGATGCTGGGTTTGAACTGCCGACCTTGTGGTACACAGTCCAGTGCCACACTAGGAGTCTGCACTATGTAACTTATCAAAACATAATGGTCAATCCTATCAGGGTCTAGGTTAACTACCATTTTGCCTCCAGCTCCCAAAGCACAAACTACAGAGATTTACATAAAAGCAGAAGCTCCGTACCTACTAAAGACCAATCATGATCTCATTCAAAAGCCATAAAACATCATCTGCCAGTCTTATGGCACATAGCCCACCCACTACCAGCGGGTCAATTCCAACTCACAGCAACCCTATAAAGGGTTTCCAAGACTATAAATCTTTATGGGAGCGGACAGTTTCATCTTTCTGCAGAGCTGCTGGTGGGCTTAACTACCAACCTTGCGTTTAGTAGCCTAGTGTTTAGTCACAGTGCCACCAGGGCCCCTTTATGGCACAGAGGACCATTATTTATATCAAAACAAATACACTGATTCTTCTGAAACACCAGGATACCTTGTACAATACAGGTCTGAATGAAGATTTATAAACAGTACAAACTGGTTTCTGATCTTCACCTCTCCTCTTAATTGTTTGACAGGGTTTCAAATTGCTTTTGCTTGTGGAACCAGTGCAATTAAAATACTATATATGGAAGGCCAATATATAAAACACTGTCAAGTGGTTCTCTTCCAATAGAAATGTAGGCAGAGGAGATCCCAAGCTGTGCATTCATTCATTCAACAAATATTTCTGAGCTCTTACTGGGTGACAAGCCTCGACCTCCAAGGACACAGCAGTGGCCAAGATTACTTAGATTTCACCTTTACAGGCCCTACAGAGACCCCACAAAACCACTGATTACAGTTAACAGCCTAAAGTGATGCCTTAATAACATAAATCCAACAATACCATCACTCTGTATTACTCTTTTTTGACCCCAAATCACATACTATCTTTGTAGAAGTGATCACATATCATCTACGTAATCTCTTCTTTAACCACACTTACACTCCTTTTGTATTGTCTCAAAAGTTCACGCGCTACAAATAATAGAAATGATTTTCAAATACAGTCTCACCTAATTAACAACATTTTTTCAATACAGAGGTTTCTAACAAATTTGTTCAAATTCTGAAGTAAGTTTCAGTTCTCCAAGTAATAAAATATTAATGGAATAGGTCATTTTGTTCCAACTAGGAATAACACAGGAATTCTTTCAAAGTATGACTACTGTGAAAGAACAAAACTATATGTGCTAGATGTTTCAAATTCCTAGTAAAGTTATACCATTCTGGTGGGGCGCTGTGGGTGAAGTCGCCACACTGCAAAGTCGTTTGAACTGCAAGGTTGGCAGTTCAAGCTCACCAGCTGCTCCTCGGAAACCCTATACAGGGTCGTTATGGGTCGGAATCGACTCAACGGCACTCAACAACAACAACTGCGCATGGGTAATATGAATACTGTAGGTACTCAGATACTTAGTGAATGAAAGAAAACAACACTGACACCTAAAAAATGTGAACCACCTGGTTCTGAAGATTATATGCAATAGTACAATATACTTTTAAATACCAGTATTTCCTCTTACTGTTATGTAGGCACATGCTAATTCTTGAAATTTTACCATCAGAAGTCACCCACCTCCATCACCATTAGGCCAGAAGACTGATTTACAAAGTCAGTTGATCACTTTCCCTAAACTGAATCACTTTAGATGCCATGAATCACTAAGCAGTGACATTTTATTAGTCCTTGTCCACTTAATAAGGCCGATTCACAGTATCATTAGTCATCATTTTGGTAAGTTTGAAAAGGAAATTAACGTTCTAAATCTGTGGTCATGCAACACCAGGTATTAGCTTTAGATTGATGATACACATTTGAAGGAATTACCATATAATAAGAACATATGCTACCAAAAAGCACTTCCCTTAAAATGCCTTCACATCCAGCTTATATGAAGTGGGGAGAAACACCAAACTCTCATATAGTACCCATTTGACCTAACTTCGATGGCTTGATGACCAGAACATGACTAGAGGAAAATAAAGAAATTTGATAAAGGAAGCAAGTGTAACTTGCTACAAGTTGATGAACTTGACCTATAGTTATGGATGTTGTTTTTGTTAAGTGCCATCGAGACAGTTCCGACCCATAGTGACCCTGTAT